CTACACTAACCTTTCTACCTATCCAAATTTGTACAAAATAAATGTCAAATAGCAGTTAATATAAAAAGTATAGTACTTACTGCTATAATCACCATATCCATAGTAGTTGTTGTAACCAGTGTAGTCATATCCTCCATAACCACCGTAACCTTGGCTGTTATATCCATAGTTGCCATAGCCTTGATTCCAATAGTTACTATATCCCTGGTTCCAGTTTTGACTGGGGCCTGCAGCACATTAATAGGTTCACTAAAGTCAGAAGATCAGCAAAGATCTTTACTTCAGGATAATTAAAAAGCAGAAAAGCTTAAGATAGAGTAAACTTAGGCTCTAGCTTACCACCACCTCTTCCACGAGCTCTTCCTGCAAATCCTCCTCTAGATCCCCACTGTTGCTGTTGCTGATACTGTTCCTTCGACATGGCTACTTTTATTTCACACTAAAAGAGAAAAATTATGTTATTATACGGACTCAAAATATATCAAAATTTGTAATAACCAGAATAGCCAATACTGTCTAAAATAGAGTTGACTAATATGGTACTTTCCTCAAAGTGAGTTTATCAATTAAACCAATCATCAGTACTTAAATAATCTTCAAGAATGAATTGCTTAAGATAGGCTGCGACATCCTACTCATCAGGCCCTCAAACAGTACCTTCTGGTAAAACCTGGACAAAAATTCACTCAACTACAATATTTTCCTCCTGCTCCCCAGTAAAAGCCAAAAGTAGTAATCAATGACTTTGATAAGTAAGAAGCCAATGAGGTGTCTTAAAGCACAAGCATGCAAATTGAAACCTTTACAGAAAGCTAGATGATGAAACTCTCTACAAAAGCTGGTTTTCTCTACGAGTAAATGGATACTTAACTTACTTTACTAAGACCAACATTGTGGTATTTCTTTTCCATTATCTTCTTCACTGGTTCCTCTTCCTTAAAGGTAATAAAGCAGAATCCACGCCTCTTATTGGTCTTGTTGTCCATAGGGAGCTCTATGGATTCCACCTGATATAAAAAAAAAATAAGTTTTAATACCTTAGTTTGCACGTGATTGACATAAAAGCACAAGTTTAGTGGGAAAAACGAACAAAGAAAACATATTTGGCCTCCAAATCCTATTCTGCTCTATTTATTCTAATCTTTTGAAAGAATTCTTCAAATTAGAACATCCATTCCAGACGAACCATGAGAGATGATGGACTCTGAAAAACAAACTGAGGGTTCTAGAGGGGAGGGGGGTGGGGGGATAGGTTAGCCTGGTGATGGGTATTAAAGAGGGCACGTTCTGCATGGAGCACTGGGTGTTATGCACAATGAATCATGGAACACTACATCAAAAACTAATGATGGAATGTATGGTGATTAACCTAACAATAAAAATTTAAAGAAAAAAAAAAAAAAACCAATCCATCTAAAAAGTCTTCAAACCTATTTATAAAAGCAAGCTTTACAGGGTACTGACATTTGCTACCTAATTGAAAGGTCACAAACTCAAATGCCGACCAAGAACAGAAGGCAACGATTTTAAGAAAAAAAAAGGATAAAGACGACTGCATTTGGGAAAAAACTGGGAGTGGTGAGGACCGCTGAAAACTGGAGAACATATAAATAACCAAAGGTAGAGGCTGCTACTCTCGTCTTAGATGGCTACTGCGCCATGCAAGAAGGCAGTTCCAATGTTGCTTACTCTTGCAAATATTTAAGGAAAAGCTAGATATCCAGATACCTGTGGGAAATAACTCAACCTAAATACCAACAACAAAACATGCTCTGCTTAAATCAAGCAAAAGAGATCTACAGGCTGTATCTGGCATGCAAAGCCACAAATTTCTCATCTTAGTTTTAAATCATTAAATCACAAAAGGAACTTTGGTTTCACTAAGTCTGTAATTAGACTCATAAAATTTGCACATACACATTATTTTTCTCTGAGAAGGCACTACATCCTATTCTTAATTCATTCTTTTCCTATTCTCAACTGAATGATTTCCTTCTATATCTCAGGTAATCCAATCTGTGTTTCTTCCTCATGTATCTCTTTTTTCTTCTACTAATCTGGTAAATTCCTCAAGGTAACAATGTCTATTTCATCTTTGTGTACCTGTACCTTCAATAAATGAGAAAAATGCAATCATCAAACCTTCAAAGATCTGCCAATGATTTACAATATTCGTCTTTCAAAACAAATCACATAATTAGTCCAAACTTCATAACAAGTTTGAAAATACAATGTGACAATTATATTCACACTAATTTTGACAAAAACTGGGTCAAAACATCACATACCTCACCAAAACCACCAAAGTACTCCCTTATTTTCTCTTCAGGTGTATCTGGAGAAAGGCCACCAACAAAAATTTTTTTAACAGGCTCTTTTGTTTTCATGGCTTTGGCCCTCTTAGGATCAATCACCTTCCCATTCAATTTATGTTCTTTCTGATCCATGACCTAAAGAAATTGAAGTTTTTCATTTTAAGTATGTATCTTAATTGAAGTTCAGATTATTAACTTACTTAATAATTGTAAATATAGCTAATGCCAGGTATATGCTGACTTGCTTATAACTAAACTGTCAAACTGTGGTGATGTGACATCAGCTAATAAAAAACAGTGTTCAAACCTAAGTGTCAATAAGAATGGCAACGGGAGACACAAATCTAATCAATTACTAAAAAACCATCTCACCTTTAACTGTCACCAACATAAACATGACTGCTACTTCCCCTTAGCCCAAGAAATTCCAAAATCTACACTTATGTGAACTTGTTACAGATCATCCTTTTAATAAGGTGTCTTTAAGTCTCTGTATTTTTAAAGTTAATTTTTTTTTCAAGTACAGCCGGGCATATAGAAGATATTCAGTAAACAAAGAGGACTCCTCATAAAATGTACTGGTTAAGAACTATAGCTCTTCCTTCGTTTATTGCAAAAGGGGAAATCATGAGCAGGCAAATTAGTGTATCAAACTTTCCACATCTTATATTATTAACTGATCAGAACACGTAACACACTACCTTATCTACACTCTCCGACTCTTTAAATAGCACAAAGCCAAAACCCCTTGATCGCCCTGTGATAGGATCTAACTTCAGAGTGCAGTCTACAACTTCACCAAATTTGGAGAAGTAGTCCTTCAGATCTTTCTTTGTAGTGTCCCAGCTAAGGCCTCCTATAAACATTTTCCTGTAAAGACAAAAAGTAGTATTAAAATGCTAAAAACAAATAAATAAACTTTGCCTTAAGTATCCATAACAATAATACCTTTTCCAAACTGCACCAATTTACTGGGCAGTTTAATGTCACTCTTCCTATATTACCATGTATCAAGAACACCCCATTCCAGTTTTGTCAAGTTTTGCTTATTACTGCTGCATCTGCGTTAACTATAAAATAGTGAGGAAGCAGCAAATTCTTTTTGACTTGCCAAAATGATAAACGTAACCCTAAAGTAAAAATACTACATGTGTAAGTCTTAAGTCACAAGTTATCAGTAACAGCGAAACACAAATTTTAGCTTCAAATTTCTGTTCCAAATCTTCATTAAACTTGTAAAAGAGCTATGCAGTCCCCACTGATCACAGCAACCAGCATGTCTATGCTGAAGCTTTCTATTTAACGGTTCTCTCATTAACAAAACTCTTAGCACATAAAATGGGAAATTCTAAGTCTCACAATTAAGTTGTAAGCTAAGTTTTTTGATGTGCTAAGAGTCCTTAATAAAGACAAAATTAAACAACTTAGCAAAAATTACCCATTGAAGCATAATCCACTAATTAAGTTCTATGATTTATTTACAGTAGAACCTCAGTTAACCAGCAATAAAATATTTAAACCTTGAAGATGCTAAAAGTGACAGGTGGTAAGTGGAAACCACCAGAACACTTTAAGACCAAATATATATACTCAAAAAAAAAAAAAAAAAATCTCAGGTTAAGTATTATTTTTACTACAGCAAAATGCTATAAAGCTCAGACTTGGCAGCTCTGAATGCTTTTACATCTGCCCCCTTTGCTATCCCTTAGCCCGCCCCGAAGAGCTTACACACCCCTCCTACCCTTTAAAGAGACAGGACTGGAGATTTTTATTTTAAGGGTAAACTGTCAGAATTTGTTATGTGAAGGCTAACAATTTTACAGGAATAAAATCACACTTGCTCAATGATTTCTCATCTTTGTAACTGGGGTAGGGATAGGGATGTGGTACTAATTTTCAGCTCCAGATAGAAATTAAAGCAGGAAACATCTCCATCTTGTGGGCTTTTAGGATAGTGCCACTAAATCCAATTCTTCAAACAAGAGGCCAATTGTGTCCCTAGAATGAGATCTCATTCTGCTTCTCCCCTAAAGATGCCAGATTAACTGAGGTGTTACTGATCTTACTATTTTACCACAGACTTGTTTTCAGTTCTAACGACAAAATTAACTTACAATGCCAAAGAAGTCTTACTTTCAGTACATACTGTGCTTCCCATTTCAGGTTAAGTTTTCAATTAGTACATGTATTGTAACGTAAAGCTGGGTTATTTATATGCTTAACTTTCAGGACTTCCTCTAATAAAATCTCCATGCTTGAAGTAACCCTTATTAACCCTTTTGTATTTTATAATCAAATGAACAGAAAACACCCATAAAGTTGTATAGGTAGTTTTTAATGTTTATTGCCAATTTCATTGAAAAAAGTTCTTCTCAATTACCTTTTTTCATTCAAATAATGCACCTTCTAAAATCCAATCCTTGACACTTAAATATATGCCTTAAAAACACTTTACTTTTATAACCTAAAGATCCAGAGCACTTCCTTCATAGATTAAAGTTCATTAGCAACATTTACCCTTTCAAGGTAAGAAGGACACTGCTTATATTTTTAAAGATGAGAAAGAACAAACTATAAAGCAATGACCTCTTGCTCAGGTATCCATGGCAATTCTAGAACAGAAACAACTTCAAGTTGAAATTTAACTACTGAATTACCACCTTCTGTGATTACAAAAATTTTCCATCAATAATTTAACAGTCGGAAATTATTTCAGCCTGAAGAGAATACAGTAACAAAAGCCTTGTTTTAAAAAGCTAAAGTTGAAAGGCAAGAATATTCTGCCTGATCAGTTCCCTCAGATATTAAGAATTAGTTTTGATTTTATTTAACCAAGGCGAAGTTTATACTGCATTAAGTGTCCTTGATTTAAAATTATTTAAAAAACAATTACAAAGAAATAAATTATAAGCCACGAATGAGGCATGTCCTATTATTAGTCACAAGCCCCAAATGTTTTTCACAGCATAGGAAGTCAGTTTTCTCAAATACTGGATAAGCATACTAACACTTCAACTGGCCCAATAAAGAACTCTCTATAAGAAACTTCCCACCTTTTATACAGTCGTTAGTACAGAAGTTGTTAAATGTGCCTACCACCTTAAAGCTAAAAGGTCATCTTTGCTGCTTTTCCTAACAATCAAATGCCCTTTGGACAGAATATTAAAAAGTCTGGTCAACTATAATTTATACTATTTCACAGAATGATTACTGTTTCTCAAAAAACTAGAGCAAAATACATAGTAAAACTTCAGCTATCCAGCACCTTTAGAGAATGAGCCAAATATTCCACCTTTTTTAAAAACACTGCCTGCCTTCCAATCTCTCCCCAGTTGCTTTTTAACATTCAATTATTTGGGATGAATTTTTTTTTCTGCATCACACACTTCTGCCTTCTTAAATACAGTAATCATGATTTAAACACTGTATGGGTCATTCACCACTAATTTCTATTAAGCTACTGTGGCATGCCCAAAGGCTCTTCTGAAATGAGATAACTATTAATACACTAAGTGCATCTCATTTCTTAGTTCTTTTAACAAGTTTTATTTTTCATTTTTGCCAGGTTAATCACTGGTTGCTGTTAAATCCACCCCACCCCTTCCACTCTGTACGGTGGGTAGCCAGCACCTGAACTTGAGGAAATTTTGTGTAAAGTAAGAAGGGTAAAACAACCTCTGAGCAAAGCCTAAGTGGCTCTTTGAGACAAATGCCACTGCCATTGTGGCAGCCCAAGAGTGCTATAGCTTTAGCTGCTCTAACAAGGAAGACTGCCGCACAACTGAAAGCCAGACAGGTAAATCCTACAATGAACACAAACTGTTCCAAATCATTCCAACCTTAACAAAAAGGAACACGTTAAATCCATCAAATCTTTATTCAGTAGACACACCCAAGACATAATGGTAGAAAGTACAGTAAGAGAAGGCCTCTTATCTTAATTTTTGGATAAATGCAATTATCTTAGCCTCACTAGCATTCTGCCATGCTCTTTCTCAAATTATGAGATGGCATAGATACACTTAACTTTCTTTTATATTACTGTATTTTGCTTAAAGTACAGTACCTATTGTCCATCCATATTACCTCTGCTGCCTTGAATACCAAAAGTGAATTTCAAGTTGCTGTCACTCCTGTAGAGATGTGCAAACACTTACAATGAGGTAGAAACAGAACTTCAGAAAATCCTAAGCAGCCAAGTTAAAACTATGTCACAAGACTTGTTCAAGTAGCAACAGAAATGGGCCCCTAATCCTGCAATGCAAGTTTAAAATTTCATCCTTAGTTGTAAGTGAATCAACAATCCTAATGAAAACACACGACTTAATGGTTAGCACTCTGGACTCTGACAGTTTAACTTCTTAATCCTACTAAGCTTTTTAGCACCCCAGAGCAATATGGTATTCAATTTAAAACACCTACTCAACAACTGAAATCTCCTTGCTTTTACAGATATTAATATTACACCATATTATAGTATTAAACGATACGCATAAAATTATACAACTCGGTGCAGATGACTTTCCAAATGCTATGCAATGTCATTTAGGAATTTAGACTGTTTAGTGGGACATTCTCAAGTAAGTAAATTTAGAGGCAGTAAGCCAAACCACCTGAGTGTAAATCCTACCTCCACCACGTATTAACTCTATGACCCTCAGGAAAACAAAAACCCAAGATCGTCACCATATCTGTAAATGAAAGGACGAAGAGCCTATTTCATGAATCTTCAGTAAGGATTAAATGAGCAAACCCAGGGATGCCTGGGGGCTCAGTCCATAGAGCATGAGACTCCTGAAATCAGAATTGAGTTCAAGCCCCACGTTGGGCATAGACCTTACTTTAAAAAAATAAAAAAAATAAAGGAGCAAATACACTTAAAAAGGCACAGAACATACTGTGAAATGAAATATCCCAAGTGCTCAATAAAAAATTATTTAGAAGGGGTCGAGCATAATTTAAATATAATTTAATCGAGCAATGTTTTCATTTCCCTATCACCTTAATTTTTTAAAATCTGCATGGGCTGTATGAAGTCCTCAACATTAAGAGGAAAAACCCAGAATGAGGTCTTATATAAATAGATCCAAAGATTATTTTCAATACTATAGACTTACCCAAAATGTTTAAATATCCCATGTAAAAAATACAGACTAGAAATTAGGCTGCCTAAAAAACTTTTAAATAAAATGTAGTTAAAAAACTATCTCGGTGACTTGTCTGTACTCCACATAAACGCCAATATTTAGTAAGGAATTTCAAAATATAAAAAGTAATACATATGGAGCAGTGCTGATGAAAATATTAACACTGTTTTTCACACCCAAAAAAACTTAATTCTCTGTATCATTGGGATCACTAGGTTTAACACTCCAGAAGTCAATAGTTTTTTTTTTTTTTTAAAGATTTCTTTGACAGATAAACAAACATAGCGACAGAGGGAACACAAGCAGGGGGGAGAGGGAGAAGGCTCCCCGCCGAGCAGGGAGCCCGATGTGGGGCTCAATCCCAGGACCCTGGGATCATGACCTGAGCTGAAGGCAGATGTTTAACCGACTGAGCCACCCAGGCGCCCCAATAGTATTTTATTTAAAGATACTTCTAAGGCTTTACTGTTTACCTTATTGAAGGTAAAATGATAAACACCATTCACACTCCCTTCCAATTTTGAAATAGGGCCAAAAAAATATCCTGTAACTTTCAAACACTTCCTGACAACTCATGATTTTCCGTATGTGGTTTCATAACAAGTTCTGACAGTTTAAAAAACAGAACAGAAGTCAATCTGATATATATTTCAGTACAAAACATGACTGGCCGATCACTGTCACCTTTCACAGTAACAGTCAAGCATACCACTAATTCGTTTTAAATTTTCAGTATTTTATCGTTAAAATTATTCCTTTAAAATCTTATGACAAAATGTGAGGAAAATCCCACCAATGTATATAAAATCAGCATTTTTCCTTAGAAAGTATAGATTATTTATTGGGATTTTTTTTTGGTACAAAAAGGTGGTTTTATTAAAGCACGGGACAGGACCTGCAGGCAGAAAGAGCTGCCAGAAAGTATAGAATCTGTTTAAAGTTAACTACCAATAATAGGAGGCAGGGGTTACTTTTTCCAACTGGACAGTATCCCATGGTAGGGTAATCATTTTAGAATCTGTATAAAAAATACCTCTGGAAATAGACTGACAAACTTTTAACAAGTCAATAAAGATTAACTCCTCTAGCCTAGCTTATTAAATCTCATTACTACTTCATACTTTAGAATGAACCTAAATGACTAAAAACAATAATTACGTTAAAAACATAACTAATAGAGATGACAGGTTTTAAGTAAACTTTACATGTTTAACCCAAAAATCTTCTCCTTTCATTCCAAGGAAAGAATGACTTCCTGTATTTTCACTTTTTAAAATAAACTCTCAATCAGCTTTACAAGGTTAACTCCCATCTACCTGAAGGTTAAGGAATGGGGTTTCCTTAACCTAGAGGTTAAGATTCTGGTTAACTGAGATTACTACACACTCACAATTCTGTAGTTTTCTATTGGAAATCAATTTTGATATGAACACTCAACTCAGAAAATGATTTTTACCTTTCTTGATGAAATTTTAGATTCTTGCAATGCTTTAAAATCACATTGCTTTTTAACAATAAAAAGGAAAAATTACGGAAAATTGATTCCATGACACTGCCTATTGGTTGCTTTCTCAGTATATTTGCTGATGGTTTTTCATCTTTCTTTCTTACGAGACTAAAGGGAGAGAGGGAAAACTTCCTAGTAGTTTGAACTGTGTGGCAGTTTCAAGTCTAGAATAAGCAGGAGTTTACAGGACATGACCCAATACTTATCACTCTGATTACTGGCCAAACACTACCAGCAATACGAGTCTCCCCACCCCCAAATAATCTTAAATGTCTAGAGCTCCAATATACAATTTAATACTCCAGAAACTAAAACATGCTTACCTTTACTCCACAGGAGTAAATCACTGGCAGTATCAACTATTAAGGCACTGGATAAACACACACAAGCTATGAAAGCAGGCTATGTAGTCAATCTTCCTGTGGTGAGCACTGTTTCCAACACATAGATCAGCAAACCAAGTAACAAACGTGTTATATTACCTGAGACCACACTGTTGGAAGTGAAGTAACAGAAACAGATCCCACGCTTCCAGCATCCAGTTCAGTGCCCTATCTACTAAAACGTTGAAGCAGAACTACAGTCAAATAAATCTTGGACTAACAGAAGTTATGTTTCACTCCATTTGTCAATCTGCACACACACTTGAGGTGCACAGCTTTAAGTGGAACAGGAAAAAGGTTATTATTCTATTCCTTTTTAAATGCTTTCAAGCATAGCATGTATCACTTGAAGACTACAACTAACCATCCTCCATACTGGCCACAAATCACATACCCCAATAGTAGATTCGAAACTTTCTTAAATTAGAGCAGCCTTACAAAGGACAGAATACCCAGGCAATATTAAAAATACACATGAAATATACTTAGTTTATAGAAGTCACAAGACTTGGAGAAAAAAACCCAGGCTAAGGCCAAGTAGATTTATCTCAAAAGGCAGCACTGAAAAAAACCACAATGATTTTCTCCAATTACAAACCCTAAAGGTCAGGTGATTTAGTGTCTTCCATAATTTGAAATGAAAATAATTTAATACTCCTCCCTCCTTTATAGGTTCATCATCTTGAGACTTTAGAGCATCAGTTTCTGCAATTTTAACACTAGAAACTTGTTAAAGGTTCCAAAGAACACTAAAATTCAGACCATCTACTCAGGGTCTCAACTTTACAGTAAACCCAACTTTACTGAATTAAAAACCAGTAAATTAGGTATGAGGCTGCTCTAAAAGTAACTGTTTTATAAAGCAACGTTCAGAATGCCCCAAAAGCACTAGGGTATAGATTATAATCTCAAATATTTAAAACAAAAACATGTGTATGCCCATTTCTTAAAAATTAGAGAGCAGTCAACCCACAACAAAATTCACAAAATTCCCAAACAGAAAGAAATCACACGAGATTATACACTAACAGTTACAGGTCTAGATCTACTGCCCTGTTATTAGACAAGTAGCCCTGTACTTGCAATCCAATGCAGGCAAGTCAATGTACCTACCTTATAAAACTATCTGAAAGCTAACACAGTATTATAGTTTTCCACTCATCTTGATATTTCAAAAACTCTCCTCCAGGTAGCTCTGCTACATGGCATGTATATTTTGCCCATGAAGTAACTTTAAATTACCTACCCTAAAAGAACTGCAGCCCTGTAAAGAACATGAACCCATACAAAAAATGGGAAATTCCAGTGCAGTTGCTTACAAGTAAAAACCAGGGATATTAAAGTTGAAAGGATTAAAATGAGATGATCTCAGGGAAGTATTTTATTATGGAAATGAACAAATTATTCCAAAGGTCTGAACTGTGGAAACATCCACAGAGATATATAACAGGCATGCCCTCCTAAGAATAGCTGTTTATTCTTATATTCAACATAAAAAAAAACTTTGAGTGCACAACAAACTCATTTTTAAAATTTTAAGGAACATGTTTTAATAACTTTATTCTCAAGTTAAAATTGTAGAAAGGAATGCACACAGAAATGTTTAAGAAACTCAATTTGGATGATTTTATATCTAGTAAAGCCAGTCTTATCCTCATTCCTGAGACTATTATGAAACTGCTGCACAATCTTTCTCAAACTGGGAGTCAGGGAAAGGAACAGATAGAGTGACAAGTGCACACAACAAAAAGAAAAACAAGAGTATCTGTAACAGGACGAGGCTGGGTGATTAAGCAGTAATTTTATAAAGTCAAATATTACGCCTTAAAAACAAAAACATTATTTGTTTTAATGTAAACCTGCTTAACTCAAAATGAACCTCAGTTAAATCTTATTTTCAGAAAATGAAAATAGGTCATAGTCTAAAATGTTCACTATATATATTTAATTGTCCACTTTTCCTAAGAGGTCATTCAAAAAACTTGTAAGCTTACATTATCGGGTAGCAGGGCAAAAATAATTCTTACAAGAATCATTAACAGTGATCTCAAACATAAGTTTATTGTCCTTTCTAATCACTGAAAATGACTGCTTACGTAAGATTTAAAACATGTAATAGAGCAAAAAAGTCAGGTATGGTGACGGTTTAATCTTAGTTTGCCGCAATTAGCTGGCAGTGAAAATGAACTATCACAGTGCCAAATGGACTAATTTTCATCAAAAACATTTTATTCCGTATGTCAAACTCTGACCCCAGTCTTCTTTTTACTTTTCCCTTTTGCCTATTTCCAGTCTGCTTTATCTGCAATATAAAACCGGACAGATTTCAATGGATGAGAATACAGTATTAAGTAAAGCTCGTGTAAAATTTAAATGCTATCCCACTGGGCTCTTAAAATAGAATGTACTTTGTATAGCTAAGTCAACTTTCTACAAATTACTGGCCCTCTAAACTCCAGTGGTGGTGGACAAACTCCTTGAAAACTCAAAATAAAATCAATCCTAAAAGCAGAAAGATTGACATTTACGGGAAGGGGAAGGATAAAAAGAATAATCTACCATCCATCCATGGAGAAGTCATGCAATTTCAGAGACATGTGAACCAACCGTAATTAACATTCCAAGCAAATCACACTGAAAATAAAAAATCTGGTAAGAGCTGTAGCGAAAAGCCCTATCAGCCCACCTCTGAATAGTACATATCCAATTGTTAATAAAGTTCTACTTACAAATATGGCTGGAGATAAAATACATTTTTGCATAATACACATACATGACACTACTTTAAAAATTGTTTTACTTTTCACATATCCAGAATATTTCGGTATAGCATGCAAGACATTTCAAACACACAAGATTTTATATCAAGTAACCTTCATACTTAACATTAAACTTAGAATTCCAACAAAAATATTTGTCTTAACAAAAAGAAATCAAATTTGAAATTATAATATTTTATCTTGTTCAAACGTATCAATACTGCTAATTATATTGTTATTTTAATTAACCAAACCACAATTACATGCATTAGCACAAACCAAAAAACATGTAATGGCATTAATTTTGCCCAAAGATCACACACGATGCCTAAAAAGATTTTATATCCCAGGCACAAGATATCCTATTGTACTATGTCTAGAATTTCCTGGGGATCAATGGGCAACTAATCAATACACAGCCTCTGCATGTTATGACTATTGAAACCTTTATAATACAGAAATAAAATTTAAAAGTTTTACCATTCTTCCCGCTGTGCCGTCGCTGCTTCAGAGTGTCGTGGGGAGGAGTTTGAATGGCTAGGGAATTAACAACCGGTACAGCAACCAATCAAAATTCTAGTTTTAGTTTTTGACATTGTTAGGGCTAAAAACTTTAATTCATTTACACTTCAGTTCAACAGTAGGTAACTATAAGGGTAGCAGCTTTGTGATTTGAAAAATCAGGGCTAAAGCCTGCCCCAAACAGCAAGTTATACAATTAATCATTTTGGTGCCTCTGTCCAAAGAACAGAATTCAGGAAATAAAAACCAAAATGTTAAAGGCTTAAGTTTCCAAATATTTAACTTATTCCTTTTTTAAACTATATGTAGTTAAAAATTAAGTAAATTTGGTTTCCCATCCCACCTCCATTCTCCCAAAACCAGCACAATCAGCCTGACATGTCTGCCTGGGCTAAGATTAAACTCGACATTCTGAAGTGCTTCTCTTTCCCACCCTCCAAATCTTGTGCTTTTTCCCAATAAAGGAAATCATGTTTTCAAATACTGGATTAAAGTGACATTTTATTGCTTTCATTTTCCACACCTTTCTCCTCGTTATAGTGAAATAAAAATCACACACACATCACCCCATAACAATAGGGAATAGATGCGTTAACCCACGATCAGCGGTCAATAACGGGAGTAAGAAAACCTAACCAAGAGCCCCGATTTAGTCCCTCCTGGTAACTCCTGTATTATGCTCCCGCTCCCAAATACTGCATTCTAATATATCAAATGCAGCTTAAATAATATATACAACTTATTCCGACTGGAGGGAACAAGTCAGTACTTTAAAACCTGCAAAAAACAAAAATCATGCCATAGCACAATAAAGGATTTGTTCATTTTATGAAAGAAGGCTGGTAGGCCTCCTTTAACAGTGGGTAAGAGAGCGGGAAGAAGAAATCAAGAGAGACCAAAAAAGGATACTGCGCATGGGGGTGGTGTGTAAAAAAAATGAAAACTGCACATAAAAAGTAAGGTTACAATCTGTATGAACAGTTGAGGAACCCAATAGCTGAGGGCGCGAAAAGGGTGCGCGGTTAGAATAACTCCGCGAGTGGGGGAAGGGCAGCCAACAAGCTGGAGGTAGACACAGCTCCACAGTCAAGTGCAGGCCCCGCCGACAAGGAACTTAACGAAAGCCCATGGAGCAAAACGAACGTACCAACAAGAGATTCAAGGAATATCACCAGGCCCAGTGTGTTTCGTAGGCTGAAAAGTAGGGCCTAAGTACGCAAACCGTTGTTCGATAGGGTATTATGGAAAAAGAGATTGAGACCAAACTTATCCGAAATACAAAACACAGTCGGCCTGAAGCCGAGGGGGGAGGAGCAGAGTGGGGAGCTTACAGGTTCCCCAAAGCATGTGCTTATAAAGAACCGCATCGTCTCGGGATGCTAAAGTGGACGCACCAAATAAACCTTAGCTGTCCCAGCATAAAACCTTCTGTGTCTATCTTTATGCCTGGAACTTTAATAACACGAGGAAGGGAGGGGACAGCGGAACAAGAAAAAAGTACCCCTAGACAGGCGGGAAAAAATCCTGGCGGCTAAGTCGGTGGGAGGAGACCCAAGGCGAGGGAGGGAAGGAGGGCGGGCCAGGGAGCAGCATGGTGACGGCTAAAGGTGGAAACGTGTGTGATGGGGGAGGGGGCGATAAGCAGACAGGGTGAGAAGGAAATGAAAGCCCAGCATAGAAAAGGGGAGAACTGTGCAAGGAGACTGCATGGGGGCCTGGAGGGCGGGCAGAGAGCGGGAACGAGGCCTAATGGCGGGGGACAGGGAGGGGGAGGGGGAACTAGTTGGGCCTGACTATCCCGGGTCGCCCCTTACTCACCCTTCATCCTCCTCGTTCTTACTGGCATCGATCTTCGCCCCTTCCGACTCGGCGGTGCCCCCTTCGGTGCTTCCAGCCGCGGTTCCGCCCCCGGTCCCGGCTCCACTTCCCGCCGCCGCCGCTGCCCCCTGCGCCGCCGCCACCATGGCTCCCTCCTGCTCGCCCGCCGAGCCGCCTACCGCCGCCGTTGTCGCCGCCGCCGCCGCCCCGTCCCCGCCGAACTGCTCCTCCGACATAGTGCTACTGCCTCCGCCGCCGCCGAGACTACACCCGCCGCTGCCGCGAAACGAAACTAGCAGCAAAGTAATCCCCGCCGCTGCCGCGCGCCCACTCTACCGCGCGAAGCACACAAGACAGAGAAGGCGCGCGCGGCTGCAAAGGCTCCTGTGCCTCTCCCTGGCCTGCCCCCCTCGCCTCCCACAGTCGCGTAGCGCGCACTCCCGCTCTCCCCAGCTGCACTAAAAAAGAATAAGCAGCAGCGGCGGCCGCTCTTGCCTCCTCCTCGCTTTAATGGCGCCGCCGCGGACCACCTAAAATGGCCGACGGAAGAACGGCGCGTCCCGGTCACGTGACGCGAGAGCGCGCCCTTTGCGCCTCCCCGCCCCCTCTACCGCTAGCTTTTTTCCTCTTCCTCCTTGGTCCCGCCCTCTCGTTCCCTTTCATACCTTCCTCTCACGCGCCGCGGCGCACAGCTTGGGGCCTTTAAAAGGAACCGGAAATTGCGTTCGATAAGACGGCCGCGCGGGGACCATCGAGAACAAGGAACGCTGTTTCGAAGACACAGCTAGAGGGGCCCCTTCCTTCGCCTCCGCCCTTCCAAGGGTTCCTGGAGTCGGCCCGCCCACCTGCCAGCCGCCGGCGGGAGCCCAGGCGTCGGGCTGGGGTGTGGTAGCACCTCCCAGAAAGCGACTGTGCCCGGTGCGCCGGCGGCGTAGGGGTGGGGGAGGGGAGGCGCACAGCCAGCGGCTCCTTCGGTCTAGTAGTGCCCAACCTGGGAAAGGAGGCTACCCTGGGGTGGTAGCCGCGTGACCCTGGCTCTGTCCACCGCGGCACCTGGAGACGCCAGGCTCGCGGTCAGCCGAGCTGTGCGCGTGCACGGACTGCCGCAACTCCTTCGACCGCGGTAGTCGCCGCGACCGGGTGACATTGAGGTTTTCCCGGCCGCCGTCGCCAGACTTCCCGACCCCAGGCCGGCAGGCTGAGGCTACTGACGATTAGGGCTTTTTTTTTTTCTTTAAAATTTGCTTTCCAAGTAAGAGTTTTGCTTGCCTGCTTTTTTCCTGAAAATTTTCGTCAAAAGAAGCAGGTAATTGGCGTATTTTAAAGATCAGGGATTGTTTTGCTTTGCCTGATTCCTTTGAAGAGCCTAAAACCTACCACAGTTCTTTGAAAATACTGAATTGGGAAATGTGTTAGGTCAACAAGAGGTTCATTTAATTTCATGTTTTTTAGTCTGGATATTAAGTAGAATATATACATGCTGTGAATCATCTTCACAAAGTTTCTGAGCTTGTTGTGTTATGGGGTTTGGTTTTTTAAAAGAACCGCTAAGCGTTTCATGCAGGGTAACAGTAAACTTCTTTAATAGACTTATTAAAAATCCCAAATGTCGTGGCTGAGAACTGGCTTATTCCGGCTTTGAGATTTGCAGTTTCCTGCAGTACATCTCGAGGAAAGTGAAGTTTTTAGGTACTTTCTTAGTCAACAAGTAATTATTTGCTGGTTTAGTATGTACAGGCACCGGGGAAACAAAGACTAGTGCAAAATATAGCAAAGAACTCTGAGCAATAAATATTTTTTCACTATGTAATTAAATATTAATTGGACATTATCAAAAAACCTCAAGATGATTAAAAATACCTAATTTTTTATTAAGCTAGCAGAATTTGCATTAGAGAATAATTAAAATTCAAGAATACTGATCAGATTCTGAAAATGTCTTAAAATCTTAACTGAGCTCCGGGGCGCACGGGTGGCTCGGTTAAGCGTCTGCCTTCCGCTCAGGTCAAGATCCCAGAGTCCTGGGATCAAGCCCTGCATAGGTCTCTGCTCAGCGGGGAGCCTGCTTCTCCCCTCTCCCTCTCCCTCTGCCTGCTGCTCCCCCTGCTTGTGCTCTCTTGTTCTTTCTGTCGAATAAATAAGATCTTTAAAAAAAAAAAAATCTTAACCGGGCTCTTAACACAGGCAATGCCAAGAACATATCTTAGATCAAGCGGTAGTGACTTCAGGTATGTGTCCACCTGTCAAAACAGTAGCCTAGGAGAAAGTGTGTATTGGCATCAAACCAGTATTCCAATTTAGAGGCAACTAGGAGGTCTCAAATATTTTATGTCTTCAAGAGAGCATTCTTGGGGCACCTGGGTGGCTCAGTCCGTTGAGTGTGGGACTCTTGGTTTCTGCTCAGGTCACAATCTCAGGGTCTTGAGATCTACCCCAGCATGAGGCTCTGGGCTCAGCGGGGAGCCTGCTTGAGATTCACTTTCCCTCTGCCCGTCCCCTGACCCCCCCCCCAAACAAATCTTAGAGAGTGAGCATTATTTTGCTTTTAAGATGGCTTTAGGGACGCCTGGGTGGCTCAGTCAGTTAAGCGTCTGCCTTCACCTCAGGTCATGATCTCAGGGTCCTGGGATCAAGTCCCACATCTAACTCTGCTCAGCGGGGAGCCTGCTTCTCCCTCTCTGTCTGCCCCTCTGCCTACTCGTGCTCGCTCGCTCTCTGTCAAATAAAGAAGTAAATAAAATCTTTAAAAAAAAAAAGACAGCTTTAGACATGCCCACCTTTGGGTATTAGGCTTTCCCCAAAGGTTCATTTTAATTTACATGTAGCCCAGTAACTTCTGGATTTCTTGGAATTTATATTGAAAATTCCAGAAAAGCTAGGGATGATTTTAAAGCTAGCACCTTTACTATATACTATGTGAGCATGTATAATACCTATCACTTATATCCTTACTTATGGTCCTGATCTCTGCATTCTATGCTCCTATATTGACCCAGCATTCCTCTTAGAACTCACTTAACTTCAACCTTAATTCTTTTCACATTCCTCATCTACCTAGGAAACTGTTACTCATCGTTCGAAAACCCAATCAAATGTTACTACTGTGAAGCCTTCCCAGACTCTCTGAGGCGAATTTAATCAGCCAGTCTCATAGCCTTTTATGCATGCTTCTGTTATTTTTTTTTTTTAATTTTTATTTGTGGGGGGGGGAGCACCAGCAGGAGGAGAGGGAGAGGGAGAAGCAGACTCCCTAGTGAGCGGGGAGACTGACACAGGGCTCTATCCCAGGATCCCAAGATCATGACCTGAGCTGAAGTCAGACATTTAACCGACTGGTCCATCCAGGTGCCCCCTTACTTCTGTTATTCTAAATAGCAGTTGTGGGACGCCTGGGTGTCTCAGTTGGTTAAGCGTCTGCCTACGGCTCAGGTCATGATCCCAGGGTCCTGGGATCGAGTCCCACATTGGGCTCCTTGCTCGGCGAGGAGCCTGCTTCTCTCTCTGCCTGCCTCTGTCTCTCTCTCTCTCTGATAGATAAATAAAATCTTTAAAAAAAAATAAAAATAAATAAATAGCAGTTGTACTAGACCATGAATTCCTTGAGAGCAAAGGTAATCTGTTCTGTGTATGCTCTGTACCTCACACAGACACAGTAATTTCTAACTGAATTATTGAATGGCAAAATACTACATTATTTTCATCTAGCTAGGTTCAGGGCCTCTTAGGAAACTAGGTGTACTTCCAGGGATTAAAAGTCTTCTCTCCCCACCATCCCACTTCATCTCAGGCATAAAAACCACTTGCCAATGCATGAGATTCCTTTAAAAGGAAAAAAACTTACTGCACGTTCATAATGTAGTGTTTAGGGCGCCTGGGTGGCTCAGTTTGTTGGGCGTCTGCCTTCGGCTCAGAGTCCTGGGATCGAGTCAGGCATACGGCTCCCTGCTCAGCAGGGAGTCTGCTTCTCCCTCTGCCCCTCACCCTACTCTCATGCTCTCTCTCTCACTCTCTCAAATAAATAAATAAATCTTTTTAAAAAAATGTAGTGTTTAAGTGGCTGAAGACTATATTGAAGCCTGGCTCCAACCATTGTAAGGAATCAGTATTTCCTCTCAGTGTCCGTGACATCAAATATTCCATTGCTTCAGGTTCCCAGTGCGTTTCAGATAACACACTGAAATACTGGATCCTCCTAGAATTCCACCTTTGTGAAGCAATAAGTGCAGAAAAAAAAAGTACTTGTAAAAGGGCAAACGAGTTTGTTTGAATTTTAAACTGGAATCACTTTTACCCAGAACAAGATGTACGCAAATAAGACTCACAGTTTTAATCTGCTAAATACACCCTACAGATGGGGCAAGCATATCCTATGCTCACATTTTTATGGAACATGCATTCCATTCAGCAGCCTAGAATAAACTATCCAGAAGAAACAGGAAGAACCCATTTCCTATCCAAGGTACGCATACTTGTGCCTCTTCTACACTATGTTAAACAGCCATTTACTCGCAGAACACCGTAAGATTCAAGCATTTTGTTGAAGAATTAGCTTGTGATTTTAGGTGAAGTAACCAGTTCTTCTGAAAATCCTCTATCACCAGTCGTGGTTGTCAGGAAGCTCTCCCTTCACGTAGAGAAAACAGAGGCCCCACTACTGTGAACTTTCAGATTTTACTTCAGCAAATCTATTGTAGACTCTTGAGTTATGCTTAACCACAAGAGATGTCAACAGGACGCCTTTAGACTCAGTTAAAGGAAACCTAGCTCAAGGATTTCAACAATAAGTAAATTTAGTCATCTCACACCAGGTGTACATATCCAACTGCTACATAATGTCTCTACTTGGATAACCCACAAGTATCTCAACCTTTAAATGTCCAAAACTGAACTCCACCTTCCCCCCATATCAATTTCTTTAGTCTTCCTCTTCTCAGTAAATGACATCTCCACTCACGCATGTGCTCCTGGCAAAAGTCAGGAAGTCCTTTGTATTACCCCCTCCCAAACCCCTCACATCCAATAAATTACCAACTCCTACTTCCAAAATACACCTTGACTCATCTAAATGCTTCTGAGAACATAAATAGTGGTGTTATTCCTAGTTAGATATATTCACATTCAACCATGCAACACATGGCACAGGTACATTTCTGGTGCTGGGAATATAACTGACCAAAACAGTAAGGTCTTTGATCTCAAGGAGCTGACATTCTAGTAGGAGACACAATAGACTAAATATGTGATAGATCGTGATTGTAATAAAAATAATGAGTAAGGTGCTAGAGCTAGAATATGCTATTTTAGGTAGGGTAGTCTGAGAAGCTCTTCAAGGAGGTAAGTTTTTGAGTAGAACCCTCAAGGGGTTCTACACATAGCTTAGGGAAGACTTTACACAAAAGACAAGGGTGTCCTTGACACTTTTATGAATGGTGGAGGCCAGTGTAGCTGAATAGAGTGAAGGGGAGAAAATGTAATAGATCATACCTGTGAGGTATCCAGTAACAAGTTCACCCAGGGCCTTGTAAGCTGCGGTTAGCATTTTGCTTTTA